CAGAAAATCCTTGCATGCTTTATAAATAAATATGCATCAAAGCTGAGCACTGAGTCTGGCAGAAAGAAGATCACAATTTGTCACTGAATTGCATGTCTGTGTAAGCAGTTTCTAAAGGAAAGCATCCTCAAAAGTCAGTGCATACTTGAGGACCATTTTTGTACACAGCAAGGTGATTTGTCACTGTGAGATTTGTGTCTTGTAGTACAGTTTATAGCAGCAGCTTGTCTTCCTTTTAGAGATGGCAGATGCCTTCAGAGACCACATACACTTTTCCTTGTTTTGTATCCAAATCTTGCGAAATGACTTTGTGAAAACATAGTTTCTAAGTTTCCTCCTTTCCTGGGAGTAAATGTTCTTCCTCTTGGGAATTTTAGGTGGAATAATTAAATTATAACGAGAAGAGTGGTGGTTGTGGGGGGCTTGTTCCTCTGAAAAGCCTACTTTCAGCAGAGATGAGCAGAATAGACCCAGATTGGCAGCTTGTGCTTCTAAAGGAGAAGGTGATCTTTTTCCTTGACAGCACCATTGTGTCACCAATACCATCACCTCATCTGCTACCTGCAGAGAATGAAACTAGTTGCCTTTTGTGATTTCAAATGAAGTTAAACAAAAGAGACATTCATTTGGGAATGCTATAAAAAAGCATCATCTTATACTGATTAAAATGATCTTTCAGTGTGTATGCATTTAAAGCTAAGGCCTGAAAATGAGACGCATGCTAGCTGTGTGCACTTAGCTGACATTTTACCCAGGGATGATAGTCACTGTAATGCAAGATCCCTCCTTCCAACAGAGCCTTTTATTTTAGGTGATGAGATTATTTCACATCAAAAGCTTGACAGCAATGAATTAATAACCTGCAAGATGCAAGCTAGACACAGTGGCTGTTTTGGATCCTGAAATAGTGCCCCTCTGCAGAATAACCAGGCTTAACAGATGTCCTTATTTCTTGCTCAGGTATAAGTTAGGCAGAATGTAAGTCAGAAGAAGTTAGCTCACCAGGCATGATGGAATACATTTGTAGCCTCAGCTCTAAAGAAAATGTGGCAGAAAGATCATGAGTTAAAGAACAGCTGGGTCTATACAATTAGTTCTCAACAAGCCCAGGCTACATAATAATATCCTATCTGAACATAATAATAATAGTAATAATAGTAAATAAAATAAAAGTTAACTCATTCATTCATTCATCTTTTCAGTGCATGGTCAGTGAGTGTGACAATGAAATTGGATACATGGAGACTCATGCACATATGGATTCACTTCTAGCGCAAAGCAAGGAGGAAACACCACAGGAAGGAGAGCACACTGACACAAGGAGACTCAGACAAACAGGAGGCAGCAGAGAGTGTGATAGGGAGAGGCAGCGGTGGCAAGCTGTGTAAGCACGGGACTATGTCAAGTAGTGGCTGGTTACAAAGACACATCTCTCTCCCAAACTAGTATCTGCACAAGTATGTTTTTTATAGGTAACATTCAGTTTATATTATCAGAGAAGAATATTTTTTTTTTATTTTTCTTTTTAGTTACAATTTGTTAACTCTGTGTCCCAGCTGTATCCCGCTCCCTCATTCCCTCCCCCTCCCCAACTCCCTCCCTGGTCTCCTCCCTGCCCCTTTCCAAGTCCACTGATTGGGGAGAACCTCCTCCCCTTTCATTTAACCCTGTTTTATCAGGCATCTTCAAGGGCTGGCTGCAAAGTCCTCCTCTGTGACCTAACAGGACTGCTCCTCCCCTGGGGGGGGGGGAGGTCAAAGAGCCTGCCCTTGAGATCCAGATCCTGTTAGAATAGTCCTTGTTCCCCTTGCTTTGGAAAACTACTTGGTTACTGAGCTACCACGGGCCACATTCGAGCAGAAGTTCTAGGTTATATCCATAGATGGTCCTTGGTTGAGTGTCAGTCTCAGAAAAGACCCTGTGCCCGGATATATTTGGTACTTGTAGAGCTCCTATCCTTTCCATATCATACTAACTCCCCTTCTTTCATATGATTCCCTGCACTCTGCCATGGTTTGGTTATGAGTCTTAGTGTCTGCTTTGAAACACTGCTAGGTAGAGTCTTTCAGATGCCTTTTGCGGTAGACTCCTGTCATACATTCAATGCACATCCCATTTGTCTTTCTAAATGAGGAGAATATTTAACTGTTCGACTTATATCTTGATTCAAATCACTGTACATCAGAGGCCTTGGGGTGCTTTTGTTTTGTTTTGCTTTTCGTTTTGCCTCTGTTTGTTTGCAAATCATAAATTACTGCTGGATTTATGCTTACATTACCACAAGTCCTAGAATGAAAGGTGTTCAAAACGAAGGTACAAGCTCCATCACAGAGGAGCTAGCTCCTTAAAGGAGATCAAAACAAGAAACCGATCCAAGGGATGGTTTATAATTCACCTTTGTTTTAAATGCTGATCTGAGAAGCATACTCTCCCCTGACACCCAGACCCCATCGGGAGCAGGTACTTCACACAGCCAGTGTGAAGTCCTTCAACTCAGAGACTCTTCAGTTCTCAGCAAATGAACAAATAAATAAATAAAAATAAAAATGTAAAAATCAGAGGGCCAACTAATTATTCAAATGCCATGGAGATAGTAAATGGTACAGATGGAATTTGTCCTTGAGTATCTAGGATCTAAACAACATGGTTTTTGTTTGTTTGTTTGTTTGTTTGTTTGTTTTACAATGCAATGTAATTTTAAATAGGTAGTCAGGAATAAAGGAATGCAAGTTGTGTCCTCTAAGTGAAAGACTGGGTGATGTAATTGCAGTAGTGAGCATCTTAATTTCACTATCAGGACTTTTATTTGCAGTTGAAAATCACTTTCTATAGATACCGTCAGAAAGTATAACAGAATATAAAATGTGTCTTTATTTGTTTTAGATGGAAAAATCATTTTAGTAGAGGGCTTAAATTATCTGCTTTAAATTTTCATTTACTTATTTATTTTTATTTTGTTGCATGGTTCTGAAGCTCAAATACATAGCTGAAACATGCTTATCTGGCCCCTCACTAGTCTTTTGTAGCCACAAAAGATCTTATTTTTATCATGCCTATATAGAAACCTTTCCATTAATTATGGAGTAGGCATTACAAAGAGCCTGATAATATCAGCATTATGGTCTTATCTTTTACTTTGATAAGTGACAAATATCTAGATAAATTATAAATGTGTTTATATTGTTATTTAAATGAATAAGTAGTGCTTACAAAATTATTATGCAACACTAATAAAGTTACCATTTTTGTGTAATGATATAATTAAAATAAAATATTTAGAAATTAGATGAAAAAGTCATGAATTTGAGAGGATGAAGGCAACATGGGGTTTGGATGTGGAGATAAGGGTTGCAAATTTTATAAATGCGTGAAAATATCAAAAAAAATAACTTAAAGTTATAGTCAATTTTTATATGTTTATGCTGGACTAAATTTAAAGACCTATAGAAAGTTAATATCTGGCATAGTCAGTTACAATTTTCACATGTTTACCTTTAGATAGAGAGTGTCTTTTATTATTTTTTTTCTGTGGTGATTAGCACAATGTTAGCCCTCACTAAGTTCATAAATGTGACAGTCTATCATGCCAAGGTCGACTTATCATTTAAACAGTCAATTTTTCTCAGGACAGAATCACTGGACCTAGCAAATAGTGGGAACACTTGACAGCTACTTCAAAAATGTGGGAGATGATTAAACAGATTAATTGGTTAAGATTCCTGATGATTTTCAGTGGTTTATGCACTGTCTGAGTGAAAATGAGGGTCTTAATTATCTGTCCATTAAGAATAACTTGAAACTTGTAGTTGTAACTGCTCTGAATGGTAAGTCAATATATGATCAATAAGAATGATCAATACAATATTAATAGATAATGATTTCCTTATACATTGAGCAAGGACTCATTAGCTCTTGCACTTGGTAAGCAGCTGTGACATCACTTTTTTTTTTTTAAGGAAAAATTTTTTAAAATATTTATTTATTTATTATATATACACAGTTCTGCCTGCATGTATGCCCGCACTCCAGAAGAGGGCTGAAAATCTCATTATAGATGGCCATGAGCCATCATGTGGTTGCAGGGAATTGAACTTAGGTTCTCTGGAAGAACAGCCAGTGCTCTTAACCTCTGAGCCATCTCTTCAGCCCAAAAGGAAAGATTTTATTGACTATCTTCCATCAAGAAGATATCAAACCTGTCCTTTCAATTGACAGGAATTGGGGAATCAATAGAAAAGGGGGAAGTAGAATTTGTTGATTTGACCATGAGGAAGCAAAGCACTAAGGTTCTTTCGTGCAGGCAGAGATAAGCCCAGGCTTATTATACATTATATATATATGACATATATGTCATATATATATATGTTATATATAATAAGCCCAGGCTTATTATACATTATATATATATAATGTATATATATGTATATAATATATATTATATATATAATGTATATATACATATTATATATGTATATAATATATATTATATATAATGTATATATATACATATTATATATGTATATAATATATATTATATATATATATTATATATAATGTATAATAAGCCTGGGCTTATTATATATAACATATATATATATGACATATATGTTTCTTTCCAGGGGAGTTATTATGTTCTGAGTGGGAATTCTTAGGTTCTGTTAACAAAAGGCCATGTTTGAGATGAGTAGCTTTCTTATATGGATGTCCATCAGGCTTCAATCCAATATTGAATGGGCTCTGAAACTATTTCTTTTACAACATCTTCAGGAAAATTTTGTATTCAGGAGGTTCTTTATGGATGTATATATGTTTATAATTCTTGATGGCATTAATTTTTTAAATATATTTTATAAAAAATTTTCAACCATATGTCCCTTTATATAAGTGAGAGTGATCCCTGCATAGCCACAGAGACAATGTTTCTTCCTTTGAAATAGAGTTAGGATAGAATGTCATCAGTTCTGATTCTAAATAGTGGTGCTTCTCTATCCTTTTTTCAGCCAGCAATTGCAAACCCTGACATCATGTTTATTAAAATTCACATTCCATGGGATACCCTGTGCAAGTATGCAGAGAGGCTGAACATCAGAGTGCCCTTCAGGTACTTTTATACATTACTTCATTTTCTCTCAATATTACTGGGATGAGTCAGTCTTTTGTAACATCCAACAGCCATAAATGTGGGCCTTTATTCAGAGAAAATTATTTCACTTTTAAATTGTAGGGTACATTAGACAGGTTTTCCCCCGAAATTGTTTGGCTAATGTGGTGAACCTTTTGATTCCCTGGACATGCAAAGTCATTTCAAGACATACTTGCCCAGAGATGAGGTAAAATAGTTATTTTCAGATTTTTAACTTTAAGAAACTCCCAAGATCAATCCCTGTGCTTATCTCATGGGATTATATTAAAACTCTGATAATGGTTAACAAAAATTGTTTTTCAGATCAGGTCATCTAGGACAGTTTTCTGAGCTCTGTTCTCAATATCAATCATTAAGGAATGAAAATAGGTTACCTTCTTTCAAGTCCTTTTGGACAAAGAAATGTGTGGCGTAGCTGGGGTAACTGGTGTTCAGTATAGAAGGATCCAATCCCTCTATCCATGTCCTTAATTACGTAGCATTCATTGTATACACACTATATGCAGAATGCCCACTCATATTGACAATAGGTGTGTTTCCTTGAACATGGAGTCCAACAGATCCCATCAGAGGCTAAAAAGGAGTAAAATATTCAGAGAGAATGTACATGTAAGGGAACACTGAGCTCAATTAAAAAGCATGATGAAAGTTTTCTGTGTTGGTAACATACAGGAAACCAACCCTGTAACACACTGAAAAGACTTATGTCAAGTCTCAAGAGTGTTCAAGAAAAAGAAGGAGATGCTGATGCAAGTTTCTTCAGACATCTGAAACATCTCAAGCCTTGAAATATGTAACATCTGTCATTGTGCAGAAATAAGCAACTGGGTATTTTTTACACTCAATTCCTGCTATATTAGGTGTTTAAGTTACCTAGAAATTATCTAAAATTGCATTAGGATATCTGTAGATTAGTACAAACACTGACATTTTTGTAACTGTGTATATTCATACAATGCTATATATGTAGTGTGTATTTGAATTAATTCTCTTAGAAAATGGAGAAGTCTCTGTATAAAATCATTACTTGTTATCATCATCACCATCATCTTCGTTAGCAAAAGCATTTAATGTTTTAAAGAACAATTTTTTATTATTGCATTAATTAAATGTTCTAAATTATCCATAAACATATTTATTTGTGAAACCTATTACATTCCACAAAGAAAAGCTATAAATTTGAGTCAGTAAGATAGCTCAGCAGATAAAGACACTAGTTGCTGAATCTGAGAATATGAATTTGAGCCCTATTTCCCACATGGGTAAAGAAAAAAAAATTTCCCTCTGACCTCCACATGAGTGTCGTAACACCTATGTGCTTATACACACACCTATAAGTATAAATAAATAATAGATAGATAGATAGATAGATAGATAGATAGATAGATAGATAGATAGATA